GTAAGCCTATTTGCCAGAAACAGAGGGTGGGAGGAAGGAGGGAAGGCTTTTCTTAGCTCTATGGCATAGTGGTTAGAGCACCTTCCCAGAGCAAGAGACCCAGAGTCTAGGTCACCCTTCCAAAAATGTCTCAACTTGTCATGCTTGCTAGCAAATGGCTCTTAGCCACCAGTCGCAGTCTACCTATTTCCTAGATCTCTCTCCAGACCTCCTCTTGAAGCCAAAAGAGGGAGAAGCAAGGAGGGGCAGAAGAAGCTGATATGTGTCTGCCCAGCTCCACATGGGACAGAGTTTTTTCCCAATGCTGCTTGTCCATTTTATTAAATGAATATTAAATGCAAGCTGCAGTGGGCCAGACTCCAGAGGAGGGCCTGAACACTACCCGGCCCATGGCCTGGTGCTTAGAGCACTTTGCTAGGAAATGGAAGATTTGGAGTCAACTCCTCTCTGGCTGAGGGGAACGAGAACCTGGATCTCACACTTTGTGAGTGTCATGACCATTTTGCTAAGAAGTTGGAGAAATTGCTTCTCTTGGACTTTAGTATGAGCTCATCATCTTTTTTCTGAGACAAGTGTTCTCGGACCATTGTATTTCCTCCCAATACTACCCAGCCAGAACACATCCTACTAAGCATACTCAATACGACTGTGTGCAAAGCTGAATCCCAGACCATGTGTAAGTGCCAGAAACTGAAGTTATGTGACAATGTACATGCTGTTTATGTACATAAAGTAAAATAGAATTGAACCTCAAGAGATCAGTTAAATGGTCTGTAACATATGTGGGTGCAAAGGTCCACAATCCACAGTACAGAATGTCCATGGGTCAGCAAATCGCAGAGGTCAGAGACCTTTTTATTGAATTAATGGCTTGTCTGAAGAATACCCCACACCCCTATCTTTTACTGAAAGCCACAATAGCACCCATTTAACATTTTTGTGCACTGGCATTTTCTTATACGCTTTATGTGGTTTCAATTAATCAGAGCAATTCTCAGACTGGAACTAATGGGGGAATGATTGTTTTAATATTCTGCCCCTCTGACTTGTGTGCAACTCAGCTAAGCAATGAAGGGATTTCAAAGGTTAACTCATGAAAGGCAAAATCAAGCTCACTCTTGAAAAAAATAGTTGCAAATAATGGTTGCCTCCTGAGTATTAGTGAGCACACAGGACAACTCAAGAAAATACTTTAAAGGTGTTGGGCAAGCCATCTTACTTCCCTCTGTCTCTCAGCATCTCAGGTTTGAATAGTGATGATAAAACTTAACTACTTCAAGGGAGCATTGCAGCAAATAACTAACAAAGGTGGGGATTTTCAAAGGAGTCAAATAGTTTAAGCACTTAATACAAGTAAATTTCAGTCAGATTTGGATGCCTGACGTCTCTGGAAATCTCAGAAATGTGAGATTGTAATGCCAGATTCTTCAGTGTAGAAAAGCCATTGAAACTAGTATTTATTATTAATTTTTAGTTGATGGCATCAAGTTTGATCCCTATCAGAATGCACTTTCTCCTTGATGTACAGTCAAATGACAAAGAGGACAAATCCCAGTAGGCTTCACAGAGTTACCAGGGAAATGCTGGCAGTGGGGGGGACACGCTAGAGACAACCATCAAACAGAATTTAGCACAGAAGTAGGAGTACAGATCGCTATGAAGCAATTCTCTCATGATAAATTTAGATGACCTCTGAGTTGATCCTTGGCAGAATGGCAATTGTACAGAAAAAAGGTGGTAAAGTAGGAGGGTGCCACAAACCTGCCTTCAGGGTACATACATCTGGAGCCCTGAGTTTCTCCCTAGTGTACTGCTGCTCATCCCAAGGAATGGATCAAGATTTGCTCTGACATAACTCCTTATCCCTGAAAGCCTCAACACCACTGCCCTTATGCCAGACCTCACAGTTGCAGCAAGGGAATCTCTGTGAGCTCCAGATAGATTCCCTTTAGGTTGTGAAAGAAATTTTAGGTCCCCCTTTCCATAGAATGGATTAGCCTGGAATATCACTTGCTTAGGGGGTCACACTTTCCATAGACAATCAATTAGGAGAAAAAAACAATGACAAGATTTCCTTCTCCATTGGAAATTCCTTGCAATCAGTGATAATTATAGGTGGTTGGGGTGAAAGGGACTTGGTAGTGGGAATCTATTACAGACCACCACACTAGGAGGATGAGCTAGACCTAGAATGCTCAAGGCAGCTCTGGAAGGCAGTACACTCAAGGGATATGGATGTTGTGAGTGGCTTTAACTACCCTGACATCTGCTGGGTGGTACAGACAGGTAGATTTCACCATTCATGCAGGTTCCTAGGCTGTATACAAGACCTTTGCCTAATGCAGGAAGTATATAGTCCCACTAGGGGAAATGCCTTACCGGATTTGGCGTTTGCTACAGGGGGTAACCTGGTGGAAGATCTGCAAATACAGGGTAAGCTAGGAGATACCACCAGTTGCTGGAATTCACTAACCATTAAAAGGTAGGAAAGCTAACAAGTATGGTAGAAATGCTAGACTTAAAAAAGACTAACTTCAAACAGCTCAGGAGGTTAGTAAGTGAGGTGTTAAAGGACAAGAGCCTTGGTGAGATGGGAGTCCAGGAAGGGTGGTCATTTGTGAAGGGAACGATCCTTTGGGCACAAAAGGAGACAATCCCATTCCACATAAAGGGTGGCAAGAGGGCCAGGAAACCCTCTTGGCTGAACAGGGAAATCCAGGGTAGCCTAGGGATGAAAAAAGAGGCATACAGACTGTGGAAGCAGGGGGTAGCCACCAAGGAGGAATATACCTATTTAGCTCGCACTTGCAGGGAGCTTTCCCTTGGAGTAAGAAAGGCCAAAGCAGCAATGGGACTCAGGATGGCAACAAAAATTAAGAACAACAAAAAGTCATTTTTAAGGTATATAGGAAGCAAAAAGAGGGCACAGGGTAACATAGGACCCCTACAGGACAGGCTAAGGCAATTAGTAACATTTAGGAGGGACAAAGCTTAGCTCTTCAATGAGTTTTTTGCATCAGTATTCCTGAACAAGGATAAAGATATATCACCAAACTGGACTATAGACAGGCACAGGGGGGGCACTGGCCCACCAAAGGTTAGTGTTGACCTAGTGAAGGGTCACTTGGAAGGGCTTGATGTGTTCACGTCAGCAGGCCCAGATGATCTTCATCCAAGGGTGCAAAAGGAATTGGCTGGGGTCATAGGAGAGCCACTGACAGCACTGTTTGAGCACTCGTGGTGCTCAGGGCAGGTACCAGGGGACTGAAAAAGGGCCAATGTGTTCCCTATTTTCAAAAAGGGGAAGAAGGAAGATCCAGGTAACTACAGACTGGTTAGTCTCACCAGGAAAACCTTTGAAAAAATTATTAAAGAATTCACTTGTGTGAGTCCAGCAGGAAAAGTAATAGTTTCATAGTTTCATAGTTTCTAGGGTCGGAAGGGACTTGAGCAGATCATCTAGTCCGACCCCCTGCCATGGCAGGAAGAGCACTGGGGTCAAACGACCCCAGTAAGGTGGTCATCCAACCTCCTCTTAAAAACCCCCAGGGTGGGAGCCTGCACCACCTCACATGGAAGCTGGTTCCAGACCCTAGCCGCCCTGACCGTGAAGTAGCGCCTCCTGATGTCCAACTTAAACCTTCCCTCCGCCAGCTTGTGACCATTGTTCCTGGTCACTCCTTGCGG